GGTGGTGGACGAGGAGCTGCTCGAGACGAACCGAGAGTCTCGGCTCCTTGCCCTGCCGATGGAGGTCCGAGAGATGATCTTGGAGCATCTGCTTACCACGAACAAGCCGATCCGACTGATCGAGGGCTGGGCTAAACTTTGGAAGGGACGCGGCCCACAGCTCGACACGGCCGTGATGCGTACATGCAAGCTGCTGTTCAGCGAGAGCATCATCATTCTATATGGTCGCAATATGTTCGAATACGTCCTGCGGGAGTTCGCCGATGACCCGTTCCCGGTAGGCGCGGGAAATGACGAAGGAAAGAACGATGTGGCGAGCCCCACCAACAACGGCAGCGGTGACAACGAGGTCGCACACGGATTTCCAGACGATAACTATACTGAAGCCGGCTCGGTTTTTGCCGTCGACGAAGACGAGATGGATGACGATGAGGATAACCCAGCTCCGTTGCATACAACCTCCAGCATCCACCCCAGGATGGCACCCCCCACCGCCGGCGCCGTCGACATTGACATACAGAAATTTGGCTCTCTCTTCCGCCATCTGACCATTGTCGCGGAAAGAAATCGCACCGAGCTTGGGTATCTTCACAGCATGGCCGACACCATTGACGTTTTCCGTCACCTGCCCCCTAAACCCGGCGCCCACATTCACACCTTGTCCATCGTCATCACTCCTGGCTTCGAAGACGGCGTGGTGACTTTCCTCAACTTCTTCGAGCCAGACGGACGCGTCGTCAGGTCGCTGCGCCGGCTACCATGTCAGTTTATCCGGATCGTCGTCCATACCGACTACAGCATACGTGGCGGGCGGCCGCATACGATTGTGATTGATATGCGACCACTGGAAGCTGAGAAAGACGAAGGGGAGGTTGCGCGGAGGCGGCGCGAGGAAAAGCTTGGTATACGACGAACAATGCTGCAGACGTTGCCGAAGCTCATCCGGACTGGCTGGGAAGCTGGTGCTGATCCTGACTATGGCACGGACTCTGAGGAGGAACTGGACGATTGGGAATACTTCTGGTTTGGAGGAAAATTCAATCCCGATGAGATGGACGACGAGGGCGAGGATGATGTCGAAGAAGAAATGGAGCTGGACTAGACTATGCGTTATGATCAAGTCGCCGTGGGGAAATCGTTTTCTATGCGATTGAGGGAGCCGTCCCAGGGAGACAAACTTCGTTGCATTGGAAGCTTTGCTAGACACACATGACCACTACCGTTCAAAAGATTGCAGAAGATGGCTCAGTAGCCCGAACTAGGACAAATAAGAAGAAGCTCAGGGGTATCATTTTTCTTCATTCATGTCACGCATCAAGGGTCTTCAAGTAGCTGTCGAAATGCGGACCTTGGACACCTCAAGCGTCTCCGTATCGACCAGCACAAGCTCCTTCGTTTCCGAGAAAGAGGGCACCGTGATGAGGCGGATCTGCTGGCCTTCGGGCCCTTGAATGACCTTGGTCGAGAACTCGGGCTGGCAACCGACAAAGTAGAGGTGAGGTGCCGACTTGATGACAAAAGGGTCGTCATCTTGAAAAGGGTAACTCCCTGCGGCGGCGTCAGCAATGGTGTCACGGCATGCCATGACTGGGAGAGGGAACTCACAAAGGGTGTCAGGAGCAGTAGGCGCACTACACCTCCACCTGCACATGGCCTCCATCATGCCCAAACGGTCTTCGCTGTCGATGTACTTGAAGACGTCGTCCACGTTCTGGCCGCCAGTGCCGAGGACTCTCCATCCGTCAATTTCGCCCTCCCACGGGTTGGTCGTGTTGTCAAACCACCCGGCCTCGTTCGTGTCAGGATTGACGGACCAGGGTCTCGCTTTGGGGAACATGGCGGTGTGGATCGGCTGCTGCGGATAGCTTGCGTTGGCAGGATCCTGGGCGCCCGGCAGCAGAGTGATGGGTATGGAAGGGAGAAGCTCCGAGAGAAAGTCGTCGAGCAGCTGGCTGGGGACGGGGTTGTAGGTAGACGAGTCGTAGCCATATTTCTTGGTGACGGGCTTCTTGTCCGTCGCACTGGGGTCCAGCTTCGGCGCCTCGGTTAGTGATATTGAGTTCCCGGCAATGATGAGGCGGCTGATGTTTGAGGCCTCTTTTTGAGCAGATGGATCGAGTGACTCTCCGAGGAGGTATTCCAGGAGCAGGTCGAGTTCGACAGCGTACGAAGCATCATGGCCGGAGAAGGAGAGACCGGACACGATGGCAATCTTCCTGCCGCCGGCCTCGGCAGTTGGGGCATCCTTCATTTCTTCATCTTCGTCCTTGACCTGTTGCTTGCCGTTGGAGGGAGGCTTGGTAAGATCCCAGCGTTCTGGCTGGGGGGAGATGTCGGCAAACTTGATATCAATGACTTCGAGTTCGCCATTGGCGTTTTCAGATCCCATGACAGCGATGACACAGCCCGTGACGAGGTTGACCGTCTTGAGGACATCGCCTACGAGCCTGATGCGACCTGAGTCATCCTCAATCATGACCTGGTCCTGGTCATCTTCGGAGTAGTATTTCTCAGTCGAGACGGGGGCCGAGATCCAGCGCTACGAGGGGGGCCAGGTCAGTGACAGCAGCCGCCAGCTCTGGGGAAGAAACGACCTACGTCTTTGGACACATCCTCGAGAATATTGGGCTTCAATCGCATCTCCATGTAGATGGTACCAGCCACCCAGCACAGCTCACCCTGCCGGACGTCGAGGACTCGATTGACCTGCTTCGCCGGCTCCCCGCCAATGACGGTGCCATCCCAGGCTTCGGCTGCGATCTTTTCTACGGCAGGTTTGATATGCGTGAGGCGAAGGAAGTAAACGTCGGCAAATTGTTGCTGGTAGGACCTGTCCTTCTTCAAGAGAAACGTGGGTAGGGGCTTGTAGGTTGAAGGTGCTCTTGCGAGCTGCGCTGTCTCTGCATCCCTTGTTGCGGTCAGTACTGGCCTGCACCGGGGGGAGGGGGGGTAATTGGCGACCCAATGCACTCACGACTTTTTTTGGAGAAGGCCAGTGGCCTCATCGAGGGTGACCATTGCGTGAGGCGATTCTTGCATGCAAAGTGTTCTGGCAAATAGTGAGGTGTCGATGCAGCTGGCCCGCCAGAAATTGAGGTCAGCCTGGAGATGGGAACCAAAGGAAGCTAGTAGCTACAAGCTGGACAGTGAGTGGGTGGATGGGCTTTGTGAGAGCCGACGCGTCAAGGACGACCAACGCGACCGCTGGACCCAAGGTGAGTCGCGACAATTTGGCGTAAAGCACTGTGGCTTGACCCAAAGGCATAGCCACGGCGGGGTTCTAGGTTCCTATGTACCTGGGCAGGGTCCTTGCATCAAGGCAGGCCAGGGATCCAGGGCTACAGGGGGGTTGACTCACTGGAAGGACTCGCTGATTCATCACTATGGGGGAATGCCGAAGGAACACCGCCGGTAGCTGCCGCGGGGTATCGAAGCCAGTGAGCCATCGGCCATCGAGCCATCGGAGCATGCGACACTGGATCGACCTTTCCTAAAACTCCTGTCAGCCTAGTCCACGAAATTTCTACATCTTCCAACCTCTCCCCTCCTTGTCTATCTATCCGAATCTCCTGCCGTCCTCTCATTGACTTATTCCTCCTTGCCCCTCTGTTCAGTTTCCTTCTCTGCCCCTCCATTCGATCTCTCCGCAACCGCAATCATGGCGCCCGCTCGCTCTCCCACTCTCGCGACGAATAACCTGACCTACACCTTTCCCGACTACTCCACGGGCATCCGCGACATCACGCTCGACCTGCCCGCCCAGTCTCGCACTCTGATCATTGGAGCCAACGGCGCCGGCAAGACGACACTGCTGCGCCTCCTCGCCGGCAAGCGTCTCGCCCCCTCGGGCACCATCTCGGTCGGCGGCGTCGACCCCTTCAAGGAGGGCCTTGAGGGCGTCACCTACCTGGGCCTTGAGTGGGTCCTCAACCCCATCGTCCGCACCGACATTGGCGTCAACGAGCTCCTGCGCTCCGTCGGCGGCGACGCCTACCCCGAGCGCCGCGACGAGCTCATTGGCGTCCTCGACATTGATACGACCTGGCGCATGCACGCCGTCAGCGATGGCGAGCGCCGCCGCGTCCAGCTCGCTATGGGCCTCATTCGCCCCTGGACCGTCCTGCTCCTCGACGAGATCACCGTCGACCTCGACGTCTTGAGCCGCGCCAACTTTCTCGGCTGGCTGCGCGCCGAGACCGAGACACGCGTCTGCACCGTCGTCTACGCCACCCACATTCTCGACAACCTCGCTGGCTGGCCCACCCACCTCGTCCACATGCACCTCGGCCGTGTCAAGGAGTGGGACCGCGCCGAAAAGTTTCTCGAGGGCGTCGACGAGAAGAGCGGCAACAGCACCCTCGGCCAGCTGGTCCTGCGCTGGCTGCAGCAGGATCTCGACGATCGCGGCCCTCGCTCGCAGGCCGGCATTGGGCCCGAGGGCAAGACCTACTCGGCTGGTGGCTATGGTGGTTACGGCGACGAATCGACCAAGATTGCGAAGAAGTAAGCACCTGATGGGCATCGACTCGTGACATGTGGCATTTGGTCCCCGTTTCGATGTGTGTCGAGCATGATTTTCGTCATGAACATGCAATGACGAGGAAGGGCTGGGCGGCAGGTAGTATATTTGCATCGGTTCTTGCATGACAGCAAAAAAAGGTAAAGGGGTTAGGTCCAGGACGGAAACAGCATCATTAGAGGGGCGTATAGGGCATTCTCAACTTTGCTCTGCGCGGCGTTACGGTTGCTTCAACATTACAGCATACCCATTTGCTTTCAGGCGGGCGGCGGCTTTTTTCTCTAGTTGGAAAGGAGAGCCGCGTCTTTGGATCGATACCCTGACTTTCAACGAACAGGTCTCAATTTGGTCAGGAGCTAGATATCGTGTCACCTCAACTAGACAAGATCTCTTACTTCTTTCTTCAAGTAAAAAAATTCAAACATCATCATTTCCCTTCTTTGGGACCAGCTATGCTTCCCAACACGCCACCCTGGCCCGTCTACCCTAGCGACGCGCGCGAGCCCTGGCTCCCCTGACTCGACGCGTTTCCCGTGCCCTGCAAAACCTTGAGGATATTCTTCATGAAGTCCATGACGCCCACGAACCCCTCCCTCTCGAGATGCCGGAGCACCTGCAGCCGGTACTCGGCCCACTTGAGCGGCAGGCCGCGCGCGGCCGCGAGCCGCTGCAGACTCGCCTGCGTCACGGGCCCGGCGTGGCGCGTGGCGATCATGACGCCCCCGTCGCCGCGAAACGCCTCGTCCTCGAGCGCGCGCACGCAAGAGATGGACTGCAGGCTCAGCAGCGGCGAGTGCGACAGGCCAAAGAGCAGCGGCAGCGCGAGATCGGAGCCGAGGTCCTCGGCGTACCGCTGGTAGCGGCTCGTGGCGGCGCGGGGCGCGAGGCAGCCGAGGGCGTTCGTGTCGGTGGCGTTGAAGGCGCGGCCGCGCCAGAGGCAATTGCAGAGGTCCATGAGGAAGCTGTTGAAGGTGCGGAGGTCGGCCGACGTGTAGGCCGTCTTGGACCGCGCCATGGCGGCGTCAAAGGCCGTCTTGTAGCGGGCGAGGACGCCGGTGAGGCGGGACACGTTGCCGAGCGAGGGCGAGAAGAAGACGAGGTATACGAGCGCCGGCGACGGGATGGCGATGCGGAGGTGTGGCTGCAGGGTGGGGTGCGAGGTCGTTGCGGCGACCTGTTCGTAAAAGTCGAGGACGGCGCCGTTGGTTGCTGTCGAGGGGCATGCTTGTATGAGGGAGAGGGAGAGAGCATTCGCGTGGATCTGAAGCTGCCTGACGGCGTCAAAGGGTGTGTCGGACGGTATGCTGTCCAAGGAGAGAAGGATCGAGGTCCAGTTGTGTAGTAGGCCTCTGTAGGTATCGAGTAGGAGGATCTGATTTGAAGGCGTTCGGGGAAGGCACTTCTCGAGGGGCTGGAAGAGGAGGCGCTTAAGTTCTACGGTTGTTAGTGAACATGAAATTCTGTGCATAACCAGATTCTTACCATCAAATCTGGATAATGTTGTGTACTGAAGTATGCCCAAGATACGACCTTGAGCTTCGACGCCGTCCCACCTCTCGAACAGTTTAGCCAGGAAGTTCAAGACGACCGGGGGTGTTTCCTAGCCATGTTAGTCACAGAGTAATGGAGCCAACTACTCGGGAACTCTACCTTGACGCGGGAGACATAGTCTTGGAGGACCTCCATAGTGTCCTCGAAGGTCTTGGTGTCTGCGTTTCCCGAGACGACATCATCGAGGAGCGCGTCCAACCAATGCACTATGCGGCGCGACATGACATCGTCCTTCCTCAAAGCAACGAAATTCTGAAGCAGCGGGTCGGCGAGGACAGCAGCTAGCTGATTCGGCACCTCGATCTTTTCCAGCGTTTGGGCCAGTCGATCAGCGCTGTCAATTTCCTCTAAAGTCACAGACGTCTGCACGTGTCAGCACGAGGCGGGGACAAGGAGGGGAGTCGCATTCGTACCTCGTCGGCATAAGAAGTGTGAACAGCAGGGACACCAGACGGACGCGGTCCTCGCCCGCCGCTGGCAGTGTGTCTGCTCACTGTGAAGCCGTTCTGAGGTTGTGAGACAGCGGCTGTAGAGCGCTGGGCATAGTCGCGTTGAATTACGCCCAGCCGGTCGCGCCATTGCGTATCGGGGTGCTGACATTGTTAGTCAGTATCTCTCTGATTCCAGGCTGAAGATGCGCACCTTGAAAGCAGATGCCTTGCCCTTGATGGCGTCGCCAACGATGATCTCGGGATAGTAGTCTTTGAATATTCGCAGGAGTCCTGTCAACGCTGGATCGTGGCCCGTCTGTCGAGATAGGCCTAAGCTATTCGGGATCAGCACGATGGACAATTTTCTTCATTTGCTCCAGAGTATTTACATTGCCTGTATTCTGAAAGGTCGCACATGTTTGCGTCGCGTTATTACGGCGAGAAGATGGCAGAGGTGCGGCCTGTCGCTGGTCAGCGCATCTCACCAATCTCATTTCTCAAATAAAGGGCGAACCTGATGGCTGCTGTATCTAACAGATTGAACAGAATAGCATATGACTGTGAGAGAATAGCTGGAGTCTCAATGGTTTGATACACCATGACGAGCCACCTCAACAAGCCAGCCTGGATGGGCAAGGAAGGCTTGAGCTCCCCGCGCCCCAGACAGCCAATGACTCTGAGGATGACATCGGAGGAAATACGACTAGACGGGTACAAGTTGCTGATGAGTGAGTTGAGGCTGGCTTGATCGAGGTGGCTGGGCTTTGTGATGAGTGAAATGAGCTCGCTCAGCGCGTCTGGTGAGAGGCCTTGGTCGTATGCGCGTGAGGTAAGGTTCTCGATGGTGGGCTTGATTGAGACAAATCGCTTTTTGGCGGTAATCTTTGCAGCTACTCCATGATCAGTATTGTTCGAGAGTGCGGTACATGAAGTAAGCACAAACCTTGAACAACATCGTTGATCAGGTCCCGCAGCTCAGCTTCATCAGCAGAGTCCATGTTGACGTGACATGGGTAGGCTCTCACGGCTGCCGAGTTTGGTTTCCCGACACCATACCCTGTGCCTGTGATATTGCTCTGTCTCTACTTCCCGGATCGCGAGAAGTAACAGGAATAAAATCTTCGTGTGAGGCGATTGAGTTCAACCATTTGAAGCCGTGAGACGACACACCCTTCTTGGTGTTGATAGCTGTGAACGCGGCGCGTTGCTGGCAGTTGCTGTCGGCTGACAGACCCCGGGACGCGCGAGTGTGCCGCACGGACCATCCGTTTTCCCTCACTGTGGCGGAATCCAGGCAGACGTGGCGGAAACCTATGGTGTTACTTCTTGGTCAGGACACTTTACATTGACACTTGATCCGTTCAACTTTCACTTTTTTTTCACGTTGTACTCGAGATCTGAGACGAACCTACGTCTTTGCGTATCCGAGTTGTGACGTGACGCACTCTTGACATTTTTCTCACTCATATTCACGATCCGTCTAACCCCTGATCCGCAGTCGTCACCGACGTCATCACCAGCCACAATGCCGACTCCCCTCGACAACGCCATGAAATCCAAGGTGAGGGACCACATGCTCGCGACGAGTATTTTACTAATAATTACTGCATAGAATGCGCTGCTCGGTGCGTAAACAGCCCTCCAGGATGGGAACCCCCAACTCACCTGTCGCACAGCGTTCGGCGGCCTCGTCACAGCAGTGGCCGTCTGGAGCATCTACGGCGGCGACATGTTCCCCGCGGCCGCCGACCCGACGGGCAACCCCGAGGAGTGGACGCGGGAGGAGATGCGCCGGTGGCTCGCAGCGGTAGGCCTCTCCACCGCCGTCCTTGTGTGGGGTTCGTTCGCTTACAGACGGGCAGCGCAACCTGTTCCCCGGAGACGCGGCGACGCGCGAGGAGCTTCTCGCTAGGGTTCTGGCCAACATGCGGATTCCGAGGGCGTCGGCGTGATTGGCGTGGTGGTGTTTCTTGCCTAGCTGAGTACTGTTGGACGAGTGGGAGGGTATTTTGTAGCTTGTTCCGTAGTCTTAAGAGTTGCAGCATGTCATGATTACATAGGTCACCTTGGTGCAGGAAGCGCCACATGCAGTGTTGTTGCAAAAAGAATCAAAAACAATACAATGAGCTTTTTTTTTTGAACCAGGACATGGAGCGGAATCAGCCGCCGCTGATCTCTACTATGACAACAAAAACCACAGATTACTCGACTCCTCCAGCGCGAGCCCGAGTGCCTGTTGAAGCCCTCCGTACCTAATCTTCTGACTTTGACCTCTCACTCTCACAGCTCGTCGCGGCCGGTGGCCTGGGCGACCTCGGGCTCATCGGTGCCCACCTTCTCGGACGAAGTCCAGTTGAGGGCCTTGAGGCGCTCCGAGAGATGAGGGTGTGAGAAGTGGTACGTCGCGTACATCCAGTCGGCGTCCATGGTGCTGAGGTTCTGGACCTGGAGCTTGATGAGCGACTTGGCGAGCTCGGCGTTGTAGCCGAGCTTGTTGGCAAAGGCGTCGGCCTCGAACTCGTACTTGCGGCTCAGGATGTTCATGAGCAGCTTGACCACCGTGTCCATGGGCGACAGGGCGTCGGAGAAGAGGATGAAGCCGATGATGATGGGGTGCTCGAGGAGGAAGCCAAAGTCGGCGTAGAGGGAGTGGTTATTGATAAAGACGGAGAAGAGGGTGAAGATGTAGAGGAAGTGCGCCTGGGATGGTCAGTCATGGGCTGTCGGAGAGAGAAAGAGGGAGGGAGCAAACCTGTGAGATGCCGAAGAGGCGAGTGGTGTGGCCGAGGCTCCAGTGGCCGAGCTCGTGCGCCAGGACGGCGACGACCTCCTGGGTCTCGCTCTTCTCGATGAGGGTATCGTAGATGACAATGTGCTTCTTCCAGGGCAGTCCGAAGAAGTAGGCGTTGCTGTGGGCGCTGCGCTTGCTGCCGTCAATGACGTACAGCTCGTGGAGGGGAAAGTTCAGCTTCTTGGCGAGGGCCTCGACGTTGGTCTTGAGCTCGCCCTCGTCGAGAGGGGACAGCTTGTTGAAGAGGGGCAGAATGGCGATGGGGTAGATGGTGATCATGAAGACCTGGAGACCGGCAGCGAACGCCCAGAGGTAGAAGAAGAACTGGTTGCCCGTCTTCTTGATGATGGAGAGGAAACCGGCGAGGATGGGCGGGGCGAGAATAAAGGTGAGCATGTTCGACTTGAGCATATCCGTGACGAAGAGCTTGGGCGTCTGCTTGTTGAAACCAAACTTCTCCTCGAGGACAAAGTTGTAGTAGATCGAGCTGGGCAGAGACAGGGCTTGTTGAACGAGGACAAAGGTCAGGACGAAGACGATCGAGTGCGATATTTCACCAGTGAAGCGGGCAGGCGCAAACTTGAGGAGCAGGTCGCCGGTCCAGGACCAGAGTTTCGGGAGGACGTCGAGTTGGATAAAGGCAATGTTCTGAATCTGGCCCCAGAGGCCGTTGATGAGCTCGTACTTCTGCTTGGCGCGGCCATATGCCTGGCTCTTGTCAAAGGTCTCTTGGGAGATCTCGTTCTCGAGCACCTTGGGGGCCTTGGTCTTGCGGAGGACCTGGTACTGGCGCAGCGACAGGAGAGACTCGAAGACGAATTGGCCAACAGAGAAGCCGAGGATGAGCTTCTTCCACGGGAAGAGCGGACGGTCCAGGAACCGCGCGAGGCGGTTGAGGTAGTCCATCGTTGCAAGAAAAGAGTGCAAGTGTCGATACGATGGCACTGACGAACGAAGAAAAGGTGAAGGAGCGGAAGAAATAGACAGACGCGAGCTGCGGCGTGGAAGCTTCGATCTGGCGCAAACTGTCCAGAAGCCCACGTACGACAGCACTGTCAGCTCGTACCTCAGTCTAAGCGTGTTCATTGGCGCACCACGAGCATTCGTTGCGTCACATTGGTCCACAACCCGCCGTCGCTTGTGGGGCACTTGGCTTTTAGATGCATATGTGCATCAGACCCCTGAAGTGCACTAATCCGATTCCCATCTCAAAATCTGGGACCGCGACATTCGTTTCTCAACACCAATGCCAACGTCGCCAGCAAATCACCGGCATTCACGACCACAGCCACCATGATCCGCCAATCCATAGCCTGCGTCACCAGACGCCTGTTGGCTGCTCCTGCAGTGCAGGCCTCGAGCTCCATCTCGGCAAGGTGCGTCGCCGTGGCTCCAAACTCACCGCGTCCCGGCTTGAGGGGGACCAAACTGACTGACATCCACGCCCAGGGCCTTCTCCTCCTTCACACCCATCCGACCGACCCTTGCCGCCCGCCCGACCGTCTTCACTCGCCCCAGCACACTCCCGTTCGCGCCCTCCGCATCACCAGCGACCGCAGCGCAAACTGTCGACGGCGTGGCTGCCGACCTCGTGCCCCGGAGCGCCATCACCGCCCACCCAGCACTGTCTCAGATTCGCTGCGGTCCTCGCAACACGATGAACGGCAACACCCGCCTCATTCAAAAGCGCAGACACGGATATGTCAGCCGCATGAAGACCAAGGATGGCCGCAAAATTGTCAGGAGGAGGAGGATCAAGGGCAGGCTCCGACTGGGTTGCTCCAACTAGAGCACCAGCGTGCGCGAGATGCCGCGTGCATGCGGTTGGCAATCGAGGAGGGAGGTGGCTGGCTCACAAGGGTGCGGCGTCTGGTCGATGGACTTGTACACTATTAGAGGTCTGCGAGGCCTGGGTAGAAGAGCTCCGGAGGGGGGCTTGTAACCATATGTGCAGATAGAGCAATGCTGTTCAACGATCCTCTCAGCGCGGGAACCACGGCTCTGGAGACGGAGGTCATTCGTGTAGTCGTATTTCTCACAACGCATCTCAGGTCGAAGCTCATGAGGCTCACAGACAGAGGTGATTTGTATGATTACGAGGCAAGCCTAGCACGTTGCCCGTGTTTTTTCTTTTAGCGCCACACAAATCATCAGTCCGACTCATCATCACTATCATCCGTGTAGTCGCCCTCCTCATCATCCTCCTCTTCCGACTCTTCCTCTTCCTCTTCCCCATCCTGAGGCTTCAGACCATAGTCGTCGTGGAAGTATGCCAGCTGCTGCACCTGTGTCTTGTAGCCCGTCTCCTTGAGAGCCTTCTCGATATTCTAGTACATGTCAGGTTAGTATTTCAGTTGTCATTCACCCATCGGAGAAGTGAACTTACCTCCTCCAGAATCGGTGCGCACGTGACGATGACGTTGCTCTTCCCTGGTGCAAACACGGGCATGATGAGGTCGTTCAAGACGTCCTTGATCTGCTCATCGGTGACATCCCGCACACTCTTCATGATCTTCTTGTGCCAGTCCAGAGGCACGCCGCGCACGACACCGAGCACAAAGTTCTGGCTCGCCGCAGAGGCCATGGTCGACTGCTCGTCGGCAAAGTGCACGACAATCTGGCTGATGGCGCCCTCCTTGAGGTGGCGATCAATGGGCTCCTCGCCCTCGGCGATCTTGCGGACCGTCTCACGGGCGGCGGCGATGGCCTTGGAGACGTCGGGAGAGCGGTAGACGCGGAACTGGATCATGCCGCTGTCGACGTCGCGGTTGAAGAAGACGCCGTAGGCCATGCCCTGGCCGCGGACTGCGCACCAGAGCGGGCCCTCGACCGCCTCGAGGTAGCCGATGGCGACGAGGATGGCGGGGAGGCGCGGGTCTTCAAAGGAGATGATGCCCTTGGAGGTGCTTACGCTGTACGAACCATCAACTGTCGTCATGGGGACGATGACGGCGCCGACGGAACCTGGGTTCTCTCCCTCTTCGGTGAGATGGCTGTGCGCCTTGAGAACTGGAAGAAGCTCGCCTGCGGGTTGCAGAGCGCTGCTCAAGACGTCCCACGCAGCGACCGGGTTCTCGAGCTTATTCACATCTGCGGTAACGAGGATGCGTGTGTTGTTAAATTGGAAGAGAGACTTGCGGATCTTCTCGAACCAGGAGACGACCAATTCGGGATCGCTCTCGAGGAGCTTCTTGACGCGGCGCAAGTAGACGGCGCGAACCAAGGCTCGCTTCGAGACGGCATAGGACTCCTTCTTCAGATGATAGGCCATGTTGATCTCAGTGGACATGGAGCGGCCGTCCCGCTTGAGCTCGGGGATGTCAGCCAGCTGCTTCTGCACGCCAGCCTTGAGCCTCTGCACGTCAAAGACGCTGTCGAACATCATGGTACGGATCCAGCTGATGATACTGGCGTATTTTTCGGGCTCAATCTGGAACTGAATGGTGATGCTGTCGGGGTCACCCATGTCCTTCGCAGACCGGATGCCGTAGCTGATGGTTTCCTCCTCGAGTTCCATGACGATCTGCTCAAAGTCAACCTGCTTGCCGTCGCGCTCGATGGGCGTGTTGAAGAAGTTGTCGGCAAAGATGGGCAGCAGAGGCTTCACTTCGGTGGGAACCTGGGCGGTGCCCAAGTAGAGACTGATGTGCACAAAGTTGGAGGGCACGCTTTCAAACTGGATGAAGAGAGGGTCCTTGCCGTCAGTCGCGGCATCGATAACCTTCTGCGCCTTATTCTCGAAGACTCCCAGGTTTCGTGCCTTTCCAGACTTGGCCGTTTCGGATTCGATGAAGTGGATAGAATCGGTGCCGGGTACGGACCAACGGTCGACGACCTCGGGCGGGATGGGCATGTCGTTCTTCTTCTTTGCCGCCTCCAGCTTTTCAGCGAGCTTGGCCAGACCCTCAGGACCAAGCTTCGCCTTTCTCTTCGCGAGTCTTTCCTCCTCCTCAGTCTTGTACTTCTCAGCCAGAGCCATGGACGGTTTGGCGAGGATAGCAATGTGGTGCGCATCCGAGATCCACTTCCTCAGGAAATCCCTCCACTGTTCGTCGGTCCACTTCTCGAGGTTGTCGTACTCGTCCAGGCTCTTCATGTCGAGCAGCGTCGAGCCATCACGCTTGCCGAAGAGATAGTCGGTGATGATGTTGCTCGAGAAGAAGCTCTCGGAGGACTCGGCCTGGAACTTGACCTGTCGGCGCTCGCGCTGGACACACGACTTCATGTACTCCATGTCGAGGGGCTTGGAGGCCACCTCCTTGAGGAGTTCAACCAGCCTCTTGTAGACGAATTCGAGCTTCTCCGTGGCGACACTCGTAGGCTGGAACCAGATGACAGACTTGGGCCTTGACTCCCAATAGCAAGCAACAGAGCTGGCGAGTTCTTCCCTTTCGACCATGACGTTCTCGAGGATAGAGACCGACGAGCCACAAAGGTAGGTTTGCAGAACGTTCAGCGCAGAAGTGGCCAAGGGGTCAATGCAGTTAGGCCCGAACCAGCCAACCACCACCTCGCCAACCGACTCGTCAGCCTCCGGGAACTCGGCAGTGGACACCTTGGTCTCGGTGAGCGCGGGAGGCTGCTCAGAGTCGATCCAGGGCCTGTTGATGGTCAGAACATGTCGGCAGCAGAATGTTGCATAGGTATCCTACCTCTTAAAAGGAGCATCGAGGGGAGGAAGGTCATCCTTGATACTCTCTTCAAACTCGTCGAGAATCTGTAGAAGGTTGTCGTGATCGGTCTCGCCCACAATGATGACAGCCAGATTGCGGGGCTGGTACATCTCCCGATGAAACTCCCTAATCCGGTCGGTGGTCAAGTTGCGTAGAGCGTCCGTCATACCGCCGGTCTCGTATCGAAAACCGACATTCTCGGGGTACAACTGACGCTTGGCAGCGAGGTCGACAATCTCTGCGCTCTTGTACTGAATGGCCTGCATCTCAGAGTAGACGACACCCGCATCATTACCCTCGCCGTCGATGTGGTGCACCTCGGTGGTGCAGGCCTCATCCGTGATGACGGGCACAATGACGTGCTCGAGGTACACGGGCAGGATCTGCGCGAAGCCCTCCCATCCAGCACTCTCGAGCGTGTAGGCCGTGTGGTCAGTGGCAGTCCAGGCGTTGGTGCCAGAGTAGGCCCTCGAGGAAATCTTGTCGAGGAGGCCCTTGTAGCGGTAATTCTTGGAGCCCATGAAGACGAGGTGCTCCAGCGTGTGAGGGGCGCCCGAGTCGTCGAGAATCTCGGTCGCGAGTGTGAAGTAGCCGTTGACCTTGGGACCCTGGCGATCGGCCACGATGACCTGCATGCCGCTGCGCTCAGAGACATACTGGCTGATGGTGCACGGCGCGTACTCGGTTTCGAAGCTCTGAACCTTGCGGAACCTCGGCTTTGGGCGCTCTTCTGGTGCCATTTTGTCTAGGCGGAAGCTGGTGCTGTTTGAAAACGAGAAACTGTCGTCTTGGTCAGTCAACCCCGACACTGAAGCGGTCTCTTCTCTCGCGCTGTCTTCGACATGCCATGTGTGACAATGGCAGAGGAAACTGAGTCCTACTACAAAAGAGCTATATGAATGAAGCAACATGATTACTCTTCTGCTTTCGGTCTGACGTGGTACAGGATGATGCCCAACAGAGAAAACAGCGCCGTTGGCAAGACCGGGCCAGTCTTAACTCTAGCCATCATGGTGCTGTATGCAGTGTATGGAACAGAGTTTGTGATGTGTCCTTTGTTCGATCGTGAAAGGAGAGTAAACGAGCCTCGAGGAGCTGTGCGGGAAGCTCACATGAAATGACAAAGTGTAATTCAAGTGAACTGAGTAGCGATGTGTGTGGAATAGACGTAAGAAAGAGGAAGAGAAGCCATGCAGCTCTGCTTACCGTTTACGCAAAGAGTGAAGCCAATGGTACTGTTGCCTGGAGCTCACAGACCAACGATGCCCACCACTCAGTGGCAGCCTTGAAATCGTCTGGAGCGTTTTGACTCGTGGGGGCGAAGGAGGGGTAACGGCGGTGGCAGCAGGCAGAAGGACTCGCAGCCTGCCCACTTCTTATGAAGGGCCGGCGAGGGAGGCAGAGGAAATGAGGGAAAGAAAACGAACCGAACGTTCTATCTGTGAGCTGGTATGGAGCAATAAGCGGTCGGACAATAGAGAAGAACAATGTGTGTATGAAGCCAAGCGTCTCCTGGTATACATTTTGGCGGGGTGCAAGAGCAGCATCCGAACGAGGGGCACGCGTTCACATGTGTGATTGGCCAGTGAGCCGCGCACAGGAGAGAAAGGCGGTGGATTGCCCGATGCGATAAGCGCTGGCGCCCGCTCTTGAGGTACAGGGGTACATGACAGCTTGTCCCGGCTTCCTGGACAGCTTCCCTGTCCAGCGACAAATGACGACGTGGTTTGTCTGCTTGAGTACTGCCTCTTTTCCCAACATAGTTGAAGCCACCGGTGGTTTGCGACACCGCATATCGCATCGTCGTTCTTATTCTTGACCACGCCCACCCGAGCTTGCGCCCCAGAAAACGCCATACAATTCGGTGACGTCGTGGCATTTCTCATGCCTGGCGAAGCTGTTTGCCAACAACCACGCGCCGACACGATCCACGAATATGGCCGTCGGGACCGAAAAGAAGACAGCGATGCAGATTGGCGATGTCATTGTGGCGTTTGCGCTGCAGGGCGAATTTCCCGACGAGGGCGTGTCGTCCCTCTCGCTTGCCGAAGGCGACCTGTCCCCAGCCATCGAGGCTTTGGCGAGGGCCAAGAGCCAACTCGAGGTACGGCCCACGGTCAGGGAGAGATAGAATACAGGCACTGACTCTGGGGCAGTCTGAGATACACACCATCAACGAGGAAACAAAAGGCGACGTGAGCTCGTGGGTCCGAAACGCGAAGACGCTGCAGGAAGACATTCTCCGGTCAAAACGACTAGCAGATGACATTGTCCGACAATCAGAGGCTCCCGACGTTTCTGGCAAGACGATACAGGATGCAGTCGACCATGTCGATTTTTTGCGGAGGGAGGTTCAATACAGCCAGCAGCTGCACGAGGCGTTGACGGGCATTCGATACGTCAATGACCTGCTGGCCGAAGTGGAACAAGCAATGAACGAGCGTCGCATCCTGGACGCTCTGAGGTTACTTGAAAGTATGAACCTCGTTTCGGAGCGCGAAGAGGGCGTAGAGCATGGGCTGACCGATGGCAGAGTCCTGGACCGAGCTTGACAATGTGCCTGTCAACAAGAAGAGCTGCAGAGTGATGCGCCTTCTCGATGTGCGCGCATTTGAGCTCAAGTCTGCTGTACACAAAGTGTTCGACCATGTCTGGAACACATTGGTGCATGTTGACAGCGAGACCAAGCGATTGTCCATTTACAGCCAACGAGAGAGTATGCAGCTGATTCACCCGCCTGACTGCAGTCTGCTGACTAGGACTAGCTGAGCAGATGACGCTGAGTGAGGCCGTCGTTGGTCTGGAAGCCTACAAGGAGGTTGATGACCGAATGTCCCAGCTTTGGCAGGACATCGACCGGGCGATCGTCTCGCCTCGAATGGATGTTAGGGCACCGCAGCTGTTGGCAATTCAGGCAAGCGAGGTATGTTTTCTACTCTTGGGACCTTTTTCGCCTGGCATTGTGCTTGCGAGACTGACCATATGCAGAACGTCCTCGAGGCGCAAGGCGAGGCTGGACGAACGATTGATGATCTTTTTGCCGACCTTCAAAAAGTCGTCGAATTCCTAGCCAAACGATTGCCACCAGACCTGTTGATTTATCTAAGTCCTATTATGATGAGCGATGTCGTCCCACGGCTGGTTAGCACGTGGCTGGACGCGGCAGTTCCCTCTTCATTGCGGGATATTGGGCAATTCCAGGCCGTCATCAGATCCGCGAGCGCGTTCTGCTCCGCGCTGGAGCAGAACGGGTTTTCAGGCTTTACAGAACTCAAGGAATGGGTTGGCAATGCTCCATCGATCTGGCTTGCTAAATGCAGGGAAACGGCTTTGGATGCTGTACGCAACAGGATATCAGAGGGTAACGTCGGTTCACTCTCGTCCTGTGGTCTCTTACTAACACAGGCCAGGCTTGGGCGAGACGCGGCAGGTTGAAAAGGTGGAGAAGCAAATGGTATCACGGTCGGAGGGCAAGGAGCTCGCGGCCAATGGAGTTGCTGCGCAAGCCGACGACGATGACTGGGGCGCAGCGTGGGGTGAGGAAGATGCTGGCCAGCCCGAACCCGAGCCCGAGCCCGAGTCCCACGGGTCACTGGAGCAGTCCGAGGCCAAGCATGACGCCCCGCCGGAAGACGACGGCGCGGACGCATGGGGATGGGACGACGATGGCCAGACAGCAGGTGCCGGGGGCGATGGCGAGGAAGCGAAGAAGGGCCAGGAAGATGACGATGACACAGCAGCAGCATGGGGTTGGGGAGACGATGATGGCGATGCAGCAGCTGCATCAACATTCGTGCCGGCGCCAGCGCCAGCGCCGGCACGAGCACCAGCACCAGCAGCCGTCAGGCGGGCCAAATCGACCTCGACGGCCGAAGAAAGTCGGGAAATGGTGCTTAAGGAGACGTACCACATCTCGTCCATGCCGGATCCTGTCCTGGAACTTATCCTCTCTCTTCTGGAAGACGGCGCGACGCTGACGCAAGCTAGGTGAGTTTGCCTTCACACGAGCAACGGGCTTGCCAGGCACCTAGGCAAGCAAGATGGCTAACAGGCGGCAGCAATGAGAACAACCCAGTGGTTGCGGCAGCGCCGGGGCTTTTCAGTCTGCCGACACTGGCGCTGGCGATGTTCCGGGCCGTTTCGCCACACTACTACGCTATGGAATTGGGCGGCAACATGTGAGTTTTGAAATGCCGAAGTCTCACGTGGCCGGGGTTTTTAGGCCCGGTCTAGGCCTGTTTTTGTTTGACTAACAGGGGCGACGATAGGCTGCTGTACAACGACGCCATGTATCTGGCGGAGAGGTTAAGTGAGGTGGGCGAGAGGTGGAAGGCACGGGACGATGTAACGCCGCGGGCACGCAACATGCTGCGGATCGACAACGACGTCAAGGGCCTGCAGGGGTTCGCGAACAGGGCGTACACGGGGGAGCTCAGCACGCAGAAGACGGTGCTCGGCGACCTCGTGGGCGGCGAGCAGAGCCTCATGCAGCAGGACGAGATGGACAGCTGCATCGACTCGGCCATGGCGCGGGTGCGGTCGATGGCGGTGACGTGGGAGTCGATCCTCGCGCGGTCGGTGTGGTACCAGGCGGTGGGCGCGCTCGTCGACAGGCTGGCGACCAAGATTATATCGGACGTCATGGACATGGCGTCGGTGGGCCAGGACGAGGCGTACAAGATTGCCCAGCTCATTGCCAAGGTGACGGAGCTCGACGACCTCTTCCTGCCGTCGCGGTCATGGTCGTCGGCGGCGACGGCGGGGGGCCGCGCGCCGACGGCGGCGGATGCGGAGGAGATTCCAGCGACGGCGCAGTATGCGTCTTCGTGGCTGCGGCTGAAGTACCTCAGCGAGGTGCTCCAGTCGAACCTCAACGAGGTCAAGTATCTGTGGTGCGACAGCGAGCTGAGCCTATACTTTTCGGCGGACGAGGTGGTGGATCTCATCGAGGCCAGTTTCGAAGCGAACGCGCGAACGAAGGAGACGATCCGGGAGATTCGGGAGCGGCCTCAGCCAGTGCTGGCCTGAGGCCGTGGAAAGACTGGCCGCCGCCCGGTTCGACGAGAATGAACGATTGAATGACAGCCTCCCACCATGTATGTTTCTTGTTTCATCCAAGGTGCGCGCCATACCTTCATCTGCCCCTCCCATCCATCCCCTCCCACCAGTTCCTCGGAAAGCAACCTGCTTGGTGTGCATTAGATCGGTACCTCGTCTGCTATCGACACGCCCCTCCCCCCCTTCCATGCCCCCTCTCCCCCTCCTCTACCCCATTCCGTTCCTGTCCCTGGCCTAAACCCAAACACGCGGCTGGTTTCCAGTTTCCGTTCCCCGCATCCGACAAGGAGAGGAACCCCGCACATTCTCCAAATCGTGATGCCTGGATGTACCTCCTACCGTACCTAGGCAAGGTACCTAGGCAAGGTACCTAGGCTGCCTACCGTGTTCTGCCCCTCGCTCCATCGTGGCCATGGCTCTCTTCACTCCGAGGGCCGAATGTCGACCCAACGGCCGACGCATGCGAAGAAAAAAAAAAGTGTTCCCCTCATCTTGACGTGACGCCGCGATGAAGGCACCATTCCTCGATCCGCCAGGGAACGCGTACCTTGTTTTCGCGCCAAGCAGCAGGAGCTTCTCCTCCTTACTTTCTGCTACGCGGTACACGACCAGTCCTCCGCACGCCAGCGAGCGGGCGATGCGTTTACTGCGTAGCCTGCCCGTCATGGCCGAGCTGCCTCGACAGAAGTACCGTGGCCCCCTACGCATTCGGTACCCTGCGACTACATTTGGTACATCGGCCAACCTGTCGTCAGGCCTACGAAAGGCATCGATTTCCGAGCCCAATGCCTCTGTCCATATACCAGAGAGGCCTACCCACCCCACCCCTCCCTATCGATCCCCCACCAAACCGATCCGCGCAGCGATCCAGAACCATCCACGAACTCTAATCGATCGATGTATTTTTTTAATAATTTTTTTTTAAATGAACCCACCTTGTGTGAGGGACACTCGGCGTCTGGCCCGGCCTGTACCAGTTTCTTTCCATTGGCTTCCTCTCCTCTTTTTTTTTTTTTTTTTTTTTTTTTTTGGACCTTTTT